CAGGAACAGGAAACCGACATCAGACACAGGAACAAGCTGAACACTATCCAGCACCTGGGGAATCAGGCAGGCTTATTTAAATAGGTCGGTCTATTAGAGGTCACTGCATCATTTCCTGAGAGCCAGAGGTCCCCACATCACTTCCTGTGCGCCAGAGGTCAGCGCGTCTTTTTGCATATGTCCCGTTGCTGTACGAAAAACAGGACCCTGCGCATGCGTTGTGACAGGCATTACCTTACACCCTGAGACTGCTTTCTAATTATAAAAGGTGGAGCTCTTTTGGAAAGATGTACAGGTATTCCTCACTTAACGACCGAGTTCCGTTCCTACGGCCAGGTCGTTAAACGAATTGGTCATTAAGTGAGGAACTCTATACAGCACTGTACTGCATTAGTACAGTACTGTATAGTGTTGCAGATGTACAGTACTGAACAGTGTACTGTACATCGGGCAATAAAATACTTACCGTGACCCGCAGTGAAGAACGGAGGGCATCACTTCCGCCGGCGAGACGTCGCACTGACGCTGACACGCAAGGTCGGAGGTCGGTCGGAGGTCGATCGGAGGTCGGTCGTAAGTGCGAGTGGTCGCAAAGTAGGTAAGTCGGTAAGCAAGGAGTGTCTGTATTGCAGCATGCCAGGAATTTCTCCATGCTGATACTGGTAATTCTATGAACTATTTTAGATCATTTATTGTTACTATTAACTGCCTTTGTTCAGTTCAAATAAGTCAGCATAGGCTGCACACTACACGGTTCTATACTGACGTCTTACATTGTATCTACAGCCATTCATTGTACTGGCATCATTTTTTGACAGCCGCAACAAGACACCAGTACACCTCAAAGAACTCAAAATTGCTGTTTCTGTTGAATGAAGAAGACGCCTACATTTTTCATAAGCACATGACTTTAACATTTGTACAAATTTCCAGTAAATATGACCACATAGGCAACGTGATATATTAACCAAAGGTTCTACAGAACACTACCCCAGTAGCCAAATGTGATAGAGGCCGATATAATGCATGCATGACCTTACCTACTGGTTGCCAGGACCGGATTTCCCACAAGGCCAATCAAGGCCGGCATTCTCCCACGTGTGCAGTGTATGGCATCAACAAAAGACATCAAGGTATCCTCTAACAGTGTGCGGTATATGGAATCAATATAAGACATCACCAGATGCTCCCACGTGTGCAATATATGGGATCAATATAACACGTCACTGGCAGGGCTGGATTTCCCACAAGGCCCTGCCTCGGGGCAGCAGGGAGTAGTAGAGGGGCAGCAGGGGTGTAGAATTCCTATCTCACGATGCCTGGGACACGCAGTTCTGGGTGCCAGGCGGGTAGTAGTTTTCTACATTTAGCCCTGCTTTGGGCAAGCCGAGCTAAATGTACAGTGTGGAAGCCGCCACTTGTTTTTTACAAGTGATCCCGGGCGATGTCATAGAGATCACTTGTATGCAGCCTGCAGGTCTGCCATTCTCCATTGGGGGGGGTTTGGTGGGTAGGGGGGCGCATGGAGGAACCTGGCCTTGGGGCAGCAGAGAGAGTAAATCCGGCCCTGCTGGTAGCTCACCCATTCACAGTGGAGAGTGATCATTTTCTGGCCACAGTGGAGTGTTTTCCATGCATTTTCAGGCGTGAGCATTGATGTTTTAGCCAATGGAAAGCTAGTTACTAGCAGGAGCAATTGGTTGTTAGGTGCAAAATTGTACTAAAAATTCATTTTTTAGCATTTTGCAGGTGCTTTTATGAAGTCTATAGTCAAAAATGTACGATTCTGCCCACAAAAGAAGCTCATGTACTTTTTCAAGCTACAGGAGACAAGCCACACAATGCTTAGGTGTGACCGGCCACCTTTAAAAAATAATGGGGTCTTTCATGTTGGGGTCCTTCAGCTGAGCAAAAGAGTTGATTTTCTAGCAAAGTGATTTTTAAAAACTTTTTTTGGGGGGGAATTTCTGCTTGGCTTAGTGAATAAGGTGAAGCTCTGCTGTCCACTTATGTGGAAGCAAAAGTCCTGTTTTGTTTTCATTTTCCTTGCACGTGATTGGATAATCTTCACAAAGTGGATTTTCACTACATTCACTAAGCTGTTAGTGAACATTATCACATACAAAGTGAAAACTCCCTTGCAAAGTGAACAAGCTTTACGCCTTGAGTAAATCAACCCCAAAGTGTCTTTTGGATGTGTAATTCCTCTTTGTAAATTATAAATAAATAAATCTGTGTTCAATGACCTCATCATTATTTACCAGCCTACCCCCCTTAGAACTGGCATTTTTGGGTAGAAACTGGTGGATTGGACTGGGCACAAGTTACCTCTTTGCAACCCATATGTAGGGTCCACCTGCACTCACTTCCAACTTTAGCCAACTACCAGAACCATTCGTCCTATTGCTCAATTTTCCAGTTATTTTACATCAGTCTGTAAAAGATGAGGGGCCCTATTGTGAAGAGGGGCCCCTAGTGTGAGATGGGGTCTCTGATGTTAGGGGGGCTCCTGATGTAAAGGGAGGTCTCTGATGTGAGCGGGGCTCCTGATGTTAAGGGGGACTCTGATGTGAGTGGGACTCCTGATGTAAAGGGGGACACTGATGTGAGGGGGGCTCCTGATGTGAAGGGAGGACTCTGATGTGAAGCGAGGCTCCTAGTGTGAAATGGGGATTCTGATGTGAGGGGGGAGGGCTTCTGATGTAAAGCGGGACTCTGATGTGAGGGGAGCTCCTGATGTGAGGGGGGCTCCTGATATGAAGGAGGACACTGATGTGAGGGGGGTCCTAATGTGAAGGAGGATTCTGATGTGAGGGGGCTCCTTATGTGAGGGGGCCTATGATGTGAGGGGAGGACTCTGACGTGAGGGGAACTTCTGATGTGAAGAGAGGACTGTGATGTGAAGGGGAGGACTCTGATGTGAAGGGAGGGCTCTGATGTGAGGGGGGACTCTGGTGTTAAAAGGGGCTCTGATGTGAAGGGAGGACTCTGATGTGAAGGGCGGCTCCTGATGTGAAGGGGGACTCTGATGTGAAGGGAGGACTCTGATGTGAAGGGAGGACTCTGATGTGAAGGGAGGAGTTTGATGTGAAGGGAGGACTCTGATGTGAAAGAGGGGGACTCTAATGTGAGGAGGGCTTCTGATGCAAAGTTGATTTTGATGTGAAGAGGGGCTCCTAGCATGGGGATTTGATGTGAGAAGTGACTCTGATGTAAAGGGGGACTGTTGTGAAGGGGAGTTTCTGATGTGAAGAGAGGCTTGTAGTGTGAAAGTGTGGACTCCACTGTAAAAGGAGTGGGCTCCTGAGGTTTGGGGGGTGCTGATGTGAACGGGGAACCCTACTTTTTTAATGCTTTTGCATGGGGTTCCCCCTTAAAAGCCCCTCCAGACTTCTATCTTGGATAAGGGTCTGGTATGGATTGTAGAGGGACCACACGTCATTTTTGTACCTTTTAGTCAGGTGTGCCTTGAGATTTTGGATACTTTTACAGGTCGCCCTGACTGAATAAAGGTTAAGAAAAGCTGTTTTACATTTTAGGTTGGACCAGGAACAATAAAGTTCTGGCCATTGAACTGGCCAGCGGACTTACCATTCGCATTTATTTAATAATAAGTAAACTGATTTGGAATTTAATGAAGTGCACAACAATAAAATATATAGTCCAGTGCATATGACGAATGCAAGGTTAGAGCTGCAAAGGGCAGTGTCACATAAAAAAGAAATTGAACATTTTCCCTTTTTTTTTATTTTAAGCGGATTTACAAAAATAGGCAAAGCCAAAAAACCTCCATTAATTCTATATCATTGTCCTGCCTTAAAGACCGCTCATCCACCAGCCTGTGTACTCTTAACCCTCCTGCTAAGTATATAGTGCTGAGCCTAATTGCTGCCTGTAGAAATCAAATGACATATTTCATATATCACTGCAGTGCTTCCAACGTGGCTCTTCTTAAACAGAAACAAATGTGACTTTTAGCCAAAAATTTATTTAAAGGCAAAGACCAGACTTTCCCCTACCATGCAATAAAACCTTACATTTGTCTTTTAGTTTATTTCAAGTAGAATTCTTTTAATAAATAAAACAGATTTTTTTTTAAATAATAAAAAATAAAAAGATAAAAATAATAAAAAAATAGAAAATAAAAAAAGATCAAATTAATTTTAAAAAATGATAGACAATAAAAAAAGATACAAATAATAAAAAAAGAGAAAATGAAAAAGAGAAAATATAATAGGACAATAAATAAGCCACCAAAATGTTCACTACACTACAAATGTACTACTATTACATCTTATTCATGCTTTAAACTGTCCCCTACAATATTTATGCAAAACTTTTTAATGTCTTTAATAGCTTGCCATATCCTCTACAGTCATTTTTTTCCAGTTTGGAAGGCTTTGAATCTATATTTTAGTTTTGTTTTAGCATCACTTGCAAAAAAAAAAGATTTACAGGGACACAAAAAGTACACTTTAAATGTAAAAAAAAATCAGCATTTTTGTAAAAATTGGAAACTGGGCATAACGTTACAGACAAATAGTTCAGTGTCTGTAAAAACTGCAAAAAAGCTCAATTACTTTTTTTTCTCTTTCTTGCAACTCTCAAAAGTCACCTAAAAAGTTTGACATTTGGAAAAGTTTTTTTGCCCTACTATACAAATGTTTAAATAAAACCCCATAATTGTTCTTTAAATGTGGATATTCCGTTTTATTACAATCAGAAACGTATGCAGCTTTTTTTGGGTCTTTGCATAGGGTTGCAGAGGCTCCAATTCTATGAAGGGAGGGGCTGGCTTTGTTTGAAGTTTTTTTTTTTCTTCTCGCTCTCTCTCCCTCTTCTTATGAGCCTGTGTATGAGTTTTGGTATTGGTTAATGGGCTGGACCAGCTGTTGTTCCAACCTTTAAAAAAAAAAAAAGTACAGAGAGAGAGAGAGCAAGGATCTTTGGACCCCACCTCTCTGGAGTGGTGGGTAGATATAAAAAGGGGTCTGGTCCAGCTGAGACACAGTAGGAAGTTTCTGCTGGGGTCTGCATTGGAACTAAACCACTAAAACCTACCCCTGTATGACTAGGACCTAAGAAGATCTGAACCAGCACCACAGAGAGTCTACATGTCTAGAAACTAGACATGTTCAGCTTTGTGGATACGCGATTATTGCTAGTAATAGCAGCAACAATCCTAGTAGCAAAATGTCAAGGAGAAGATGACCGTAAGTACACCATTTTTTTTTTGGGAGGGGAAGGGGTACCCATTGTCATTCAGGTGCTATCAGCCATTGGTCAGCTACACAGATCATTGGCATGCAAGTGGCAGTTGCACCTTACAAGGGTGACGCTGCCCAGCATCATTTTTTATGGCACTTTTAACTGTCACCTTATTGCAGATGCAATGCATGCTAGGACTTGTAGTCCCACAACACCTGGACAGCCAAAAGTTGCTGATTTTTTGTATTTATGTTGTAGTTGCATTATGCTGCAGGATAAAAAATAGTTTGAGCTTTTTTGATGTCACTGTTGCAGGGTCTCCGATAAGTCACATGACATGCAGAAAAAAAGGGATAGCCTGTCTTGATAGGAACAGAAAGGGTTTACAATGTGCTAGCAGAAGTTTTGCAAAGGTGATGGGAAGAATGGAGTGTAGCACAAAAAAAAATAAGAGGGGTGGGATTTCTGTAATGCCCTTTTCCTGTATGATTTAACTCATGATGTTTTTATTATTTCCTCCTCCTCCTCCTCCTCCTCCTCCTCCTCCTTTTGCAGGATTACAGGACAAGCCTCTACGCCCACCCCATACCTTTTCACCTTCTCATGTTCTCTCTCCTCCTTCTCCACAACTACATTATTCCTCCCTCTTTTGTCCCTCTTGGATCAGCAAGCAATAATGACGCACTTGGGCTTGGAAAAGACCCTAGCCTGGAAAACCTTAGTCTCTTCCAAAATATTTCGTTTCTCCTTCCTCCTCCCACTCACAGAACCTTGGCAGCGTCCACTCTTGTCAGTGAGCCTGGCTGATGGGAACCAGATGATCTTTTTTTTTTTTGTAACTCCCTCCCTCCCATTTTTTAATGTTAAACCAGATGTTGCCTAAAGACCTAAAAAAGAAAAGCCACAGCTGTATCTTCTATGGTGTTAACCCTTTTTGCCCTTGGCCTCAAAGGGATCAGTTTAAGTCAAATGCATTTCCTAATTATATAGTAGGAAATATAGGTTGTAACAGTCGTCAACCTGAACACTGCTCATCATTTAAACTCTACGTCAGGATATTTCCTGGACATCCATGTGTTTTTAGGAGCCTAGGCAACAGTCAATATTAAATAAATATGGCCTTTTTCTTCCACAGTTGGTTCTTCAGGGTGCACCGTCGATGGAACAACGTATAATGACAAAGATGTATGGAAACCCGAACCCTGCAGCATCTGCGTGTGCGATGAGGGAACTGTCCTTTGCGATGAGGTGATCTGTGAAGACATTGGTGACTGCCCCAACCCTGAGATTCCAAGGGGAGAATGCTGTCCTATTTGTGGTGAAGGTGAGTGTTAAAGGCCTACCAGTTGCTTTTAATAATGCATACGTGGGGTGCGGCCTTATGAGTGGCATGTGTTAGTATTTATTTGTCCATGTCCAATGTCCATGTCAATTTAACGCACATCTTATTAATTAACACCTTTGTCCATTTGTCCATAGGTCAATACCAGACAGGCCCCGTTGTTGAGGTGAGTCATCCCTAAACTGAGACTTTGGTAGATAGATAGATAGATAGATAGATAGATAGATATAGATATTTCCTTATTTCTTCTGCTTATATCTTAATCCCTTCTTTTCTTTCCTTCCAGGGACCCAGGGGAGACACCGGCCCAAAAGGCGACAAGGTAGGCATCAGTGATTGGGCCTACATATACCTCAACTTTGCATAGCTCGTCTATGTGGTCATCTTGGAATCCATAGTATCCATAGTATAAGCCAATGGCTAGGTATAAGGAGACTTACGTCAGACTGCCCCCAAAAACATTATTCATGTTCATATCTTTGAACTTAGATCTCAGAAGAAGTCATGGGGTTTTATAGAGCAAGTGAAAGTAAAACACCCTCAGCGATTTTTACCCTCACCAGTTTTGGACTTAGAATGTTTTTGGGGAATGTTTGGAGTTAACAGCTAGCAGTAATTATTCCACACATATTCCTAGCTCCCGTTATTGATATTCTTGGAATTGACTCTAAATTATTAATGAACGTGTTCCTTATTCTCACAGGGACCAGCTGGCCAACCTGGCAGAGATGGCATTCCTGGACAACCTGGTCTTCCTGGACCCCCAGGCCCACCTGGACCTCCTGGCCTTGGCGGAGTAAGTAGGCCCACTTTCCTCTTGCAAATGTTTATGCCACCCATGACCTATGTTCTTCTCTAAATGGTCTTCTTTCTTTTTCCATTGCAGAACTTTGCTCCTCAGATGTCTTACGGTTATGACGAGAAATCCGCTGGTGTCTCCATGCCCGGCCCCATGGTAAGAAGATCTTCTTTTGATTATACGCTGCTGAACTGACAACTTAAACCATTGCTAAAACACCAAACTTTTAATAGTCCATCTTTTAATAGTGCATCTTAATAGGCTCTAAGCACTTGTGTATATATATAGTCATGATTATATTAACAAGCAGTAAACTATGGTTCACTATGTGCAATGGTTACTGAGATTAGCTTCAGGCCTTTAGGCTGCAGAGGCCTTAGAATTGAGTTTAGGAATGTGGTTCCCCCTAGTGATACAAACCGAATTAGCTACTGATGAATGTGTACTGACTAATGACTTAGATCGACTTGTAGGGGGCCTACAATCCACCTAATGTTTACTTTTTTCTTTATTAGGGTCCAATGGGTCCCCGTGGTCCTCCTGGTCCCCCTGGTTCAGCTGTAAGTACCTTATTTTTTCTTTTAAGAATACAATGTTCAGGTGGTCACCTTTCTGAACTGTCCTCTGAGATTTCTTGCAAGAATAACCTGGCATGCCTCTTTTTTTCCTTCTTAAGGGACCTCAAGGCTTCCAAGGACCCCCTGGTGAACCTGGCGAACCTGGCTCTGCTGTGAGTATTTGTGATCCTTTCTACCTGGGTATTGTTGTTAAATTTTTGTGTATGTACATTTTGTCCACCTGCCTAACCTTCACCTTGGCCAATGTGTTGAGAAAGAAAAGAAAAGCCTAGGCCTGAGAGTTTTTCTCAAGGTTAGCTATGATATCCTATTTTCAGTGGAGCACACATTTTGATAGGCCTGAAAGCCCATTGAATCAGCTGCTTTTTATAATGCATTTCAACCTTTTTTTTGTGGAATAGAAAGTTCTCCCCTGTGTTAGAAGGCCTACCACCACAATTCTTTAAATGTTGTCCTGTATTATACTAGCCATGGACTGAAACCTTCCTAATTATGTTCAAGTCACTAGGCCTCACAGCTAATTACCAGCAGCACCATTATGACCTAAACCTATACACAAGTGCAATGGTTGGGCGAGGGTGCATTTTGAATTTCCAGAGTATCCTCATACTTAGTACATGACAGTATAGGTAAAGGTCATGTAACACAACCAAGGTTCTACCCTTGCCCCTGTAAATGATCTCATTGTCAGATATTCACAGACAGGCCTCTTCACATAATAAAGAAAATAATATAGACACTTTTATAGGATTAAACTCATATATAAATAGAGAAAGCTAGCCAGAGGAGTTCAGCGAAATTGTATTCTATTATATCACTTACTGACTATTAAAATCTAGTCAATAAGTCATAATATGGTACTGTACACTGCTTTGACAAGTCATATCAATTCTACGTAGAGTTGCTTCTCTACTGACTATGAATGAAGTAGGCCCTGCCCCTGTAGGACTTCAACTGCAGAAACTAGAGTGCCACAGAAAGATAGGACCCAGGTTTACCCTAAAGTTAATACCCTACAAAGTAGGATACAAAGTAGGATACAAAGGACGATACAAATACAGTATGTATCTTACGAATTTGTTTTGACAAACATAGTATTATTTGTAATGATGCTTGCTAGCATATGTTTTTCTAAAAAGCTCCATCCATGCCTTAAGGGTGTTCCCGACACAGGCCCACTATACTGCATGAAATATACTGAAATCATACAATACCATGTGATGTGGATTAATATTTTATCATCTTGGATAACTATATGGTCCACTTCCATTGTTAAAGGATATCTGCAGGTTATTCCATCGATAGTATTGGATTTACTTATGTAGAGACACAATGAAGAAATGTTTTTCTAATAGAATATATATTTAAATGCTTAGTTCTTCAACAGAACAATTTGCTTTAATGAGATTTGTCTCCTTTAACAGATTTTCTAATTAATGCTTTTGTGTTGTTTTTAGGGTGCTATGGGACCTCGTGGACCCCCAGGACCTCCAGGAAAGAATGGTGAAGATGTAAGTATCTGGCACATAGATACATGTACACATTAGCAGAAGGCAAATGATTATACGGAGAGGTGATTTATAGTCATCTCCTGCAGAAGAGACATATTGGCGCACTTGGACAATCTGTGTTCACCCTAAATCTGACTTATGTAGAGGTGGGGGTATTAGTCAGTTATCTTTACACTCGATTAAGCTTGCTCTTATGAACTTCAGAATATCAAAATATTTGCATTCAAGACTTGGGTAATTCTCTTAGTATTATTTGAACTATGTAGCAGAATTCCATTGCTGCATGCCTCTAGATCACCAGTGAAATGCCATACTCTCTTCTCAGTTTAGAGCACTCCATGCTGGGAATTTCAAAAAGTAGAGTTATAGGTCACCTGCGGCTGGCCTAGACTGTTGCGTTGCCATCCCAGGCCTCAAAAATGTAGCCACCCTCACAGATTTAGACTGTGTTTCTTAGCACTAGACTTGCTTCTTTAACACACATTCCAAGAAATGATTCACCGCTTGAAATGATTCTCAACATAACCAGCAACTTTCTTCATGACTTTCATTTTTCTTTCCCAAAAGGGTGAAGCTGGCAAACCCGGACGTCTCGGTGAGCGTGGTCCCCCAGGCCCACAGGTAAGAGACTTTTATGTCATTTTAGAATATACATCTGTCATTTGTTGTGGGCTTCTAAGACAGCGTTAGTCTTTAGCGCAAGTAGGCCTATTGTATGGCTAGAGAAGAATTGTTCCTGGGGAGCAAAAAAAGACTGGGGGGAGAGGGAGATTTCTCATTAAAGGCCTGAGCATGTGACTGATACACGTTTATAGGTTATGTATAGCAGTAAGTTTCATATTGGTAGGGGGAAGTGTTTTTTAAAACCATGTGACAAGGGAGCAAAGGTCACCTATGTTGGCATAGGTGTCCATATTTCTTGGGCCTTACATGTTTTTACATTCAGACATTCACTATACCCATAAAACATTATTACCAATATCAATATTGGTAATAACTACAGTACGAACTTTAAAACTTTCTTGTGGTTGCATATATCTAACATTAGTTGTTTAGAACTTAAACATACACTGTGGTCACTTCAACAATGCTCCATCCTTATAGGATCAAATCTTCTTCCAAATCTGATGGTCTGATTCTTTTTCATTTTTAGGGTGCTCGTGGTCTCCCAGGAAGTGCTGGTCTTCCAGGAATGAAGGGACACAGAGTGAGTTCTGAATCTTGACTCCATCTTCAGAAATCTTGCATCTTCAAAAAGTAATGCAGTAGCATTGGCATGATCTCATTCAATGTTCCCTTTCTACTCTCTACCTAGGGTTTCAACGGTCTTGATGGAGCTAAGGGTGACTCCGGTCCTGCTGGACCTAAGGTAGGTTTGACCTACAGGGGAAACACGGACTATGGCTCACTGACGATATCTTGGAGGTGCTGATCTCAATTTCTCTTCATCTCCTTTAGGGTGAGCCTGGCAACCCTGGTGAGAATGGCGCTCCTGGACAAGTGGTGAGTAACAGCTTTACATTGATGGAATCCAATTAGATAAGCTAATATCGGCTATCAGAACTCTGTACTGCTGAGATAGATAAGGTAGCGGTAACATATAAGTGGAATATAAACTTCTAATGAATAGCACTATACGATGTAATTGATAGTGTAACTCTTGCAGGGCAGGTAGGGATGTAGTATACTTTATGGTATAGATTGCCTTAAAGGGATTAGAAAAAAAGGAACATCTAGTACCCGGACAATATAAACAGTAGACCAGAATTCATTTTTAAAAATACATTGTTAAAAAAATGTCAGCCTTAGGACCATAAGGCCTAGGTACTGTTTAGTCTTTGAAATTTGGCATCAATATCATTTTACTCTATTAGCCTTACTCTAGGTAAAAGAAGGTGTAAGATCATTCTGGCATTTGTAAAAAAAAATTATCTGAACAGCTCTATTTTCTAGTAGCACCTGGAGTTGAAGACATACTGACACTAAGCTGACTTTGCCTGATCCTGGTATACTTTGAAAACAATTTTTCAAAAAGTATGCTGATGAAAATCCGTATTTGTGAGAAAAAGGTTATTTCTAATCAAAAAAACTAAAAGAAAGACAATGCAGTGGTTAAGCATTGCCTGTAATTTAGAGTCCTTTAGAGTCAGAAAGCTATGGTTGATCCATTACCCATGACTCCTTTGGAATTAAATATGGCACCATAACATTGTAGCTTCCTACTACAGCTCTTTGCTGTATAGAAATAAAGGGTTGAATATGTTGTTTTGTGTTCTTGGCCTTTAGTAATAATCTCTGCTTTTCTTCTTTAGGGCCCACGTGGTCTGTCTGGTGAGAGAGGTCGTCCTGGCCCATCTGGTCCAGCTGTAAGTATTGGGCACTGTTCCTCTAGCAATGTAAGGCATATGGAGTGTATATGAGCAAGGTACCAATTAGACTCTTCTTTTTCCTTCTTAGGGTGCTCGTGGTAACGATGGCTCTCCTGGTGCTGCTGGTCCCCCTGTAAGTAGCCTCTTTGATTTATTAATGTGACTGCATGATGGGAAAATCAAAATGAAAGGGTCAAGAAGATGTTAACACCTGCTCTTCTATAATATCAGATGAGAGTCAGTGCTGGGATTTATTGTTACAGTTGTTAGTGCTGACATTAGGGGGGTGAAAAGCATTGCTTCTCATAGCACATGATTTAAAATTGTTTCTCTTTCTATTTTAGGGTCCTACTGGCCCATCTGGACCATCTGGCTTCCCTGGCGGTGTTGGCCCTAAGGTAATCTTTTATATTATGCTGCTTTTGACTTCCAATCTTCTGCATGTACATAAACACAATGGCAGTTGGAATATCTACAATTTAGTGTCTTGTCACTTTGTGTTACTTGGGAAGATCCCATGTTATCCAACATAGTGCAGCTTTTTCCACTCACCCCATTATTCCTTTCTAGACCTTTGTAGAAACTTTGTGGTAGCATTACACCAACGTCATGCACTAGAGATTATGATTTGTGACCCTTCATATGACCTTCATTGTTTTGTGGTACACAGGGTGATGCTGGTCCCCAAGGATCCCGTGGTCCTGATGGTCCTCAAGGTGCTCGTGGTGAACCTGGCACTCCTGGTCAAGCTGGCGCTTCTGGTCCTTCTGTAAGTAAATTTGACATCTTGATATAGATTTTGTTGATTCATTTTGTAGGCACGTTCACTAACTAATATTTTCTCTTGCATTTCAGGGAAACCCTGGTACTGATGGTCAACCTGGTGCCAAGGGTGCCACTGTAAGTATAGAAATGAAATAAGAATACAAATATCACCCAGCAGATCACCACCAGCACCTATTGCCCTATTCTTTTCTTAAACCCTAAATTCTGGTATATCTTACTCTGATTTAGCCCTCCTCTTTCCTGCTATACATTTTCATGGCTCAGACATACTTATACATTTCTCAAGCAAAAATCTGTTCTTATTTCATGTAGGGTTCTCCTGGTATTGCTGGCGCTCCTGGTTTCCCCGGTGCCCGTGGTGCTCCTGGACCTCAGGGCGCTGTTGGTTCTCCTGGTCCTAAGGGTAACAATGTAAGTATTTCACATAAACATCTATTATTTGGGACTTTGAACTTTTGGATAGTAATAGAATTTTTTTTTTAGCACTAAAAAGTACAATCATGGTACCCATGAGTTCTTGCCATTGGGACCCCAAAAATGTTTCGTATATTTGCAAATTCTTATCTGACAATTCATTGCTCATGATCAATAGTAGATTAGTTTTTTTTTTTACTTATTTCCTCTAGAGCTGACTTTACCTTTTTATGATGATCATATTTTATTTTTACTTTTCTTTAGGGTGAATCTGGTGCCCAAGGAAACAAGGGTGAGCCCGGTGCCAAGGGAGAGCCTGTAAGTGTTTACCACATCCTCCTAAGTTGACTGAACTGCAGCCATCTTGGTTTGGAGTCACTGTTTAACCTTTCTATATGTTTTTAGGGCCCATCTGGTTCTCAAGGACCCCCTGGCCCCCCTGGTGAAGAAGGCAAGAGAGGATCACGTGGAGAGGCCGGACCTTCTGGACCTCCCGGACCTGCTGGCGAACGTGTTAGTACCAAATAATGCCAACCTAACATATTTGACTGCGCCAATACCCATTATGAGAAAGGCAATGGAAAGGACATATATGACCAAAAGTCATCTTTTGAGTGGATGCATCACATGTTCTATAGGACCTATGGCCTGACTAAATGCCATAGATATTATGCATCAGTCACTGGATACAATCAGTTCTCTATAGGTCTTGTGACCTAATCCTAAATTCACAGAAGGTTGTTGCATGTAAAACGTATAATTAGTGGGGGACTTTTATGAAACAGGTGCACAGAAAACAATGGAAACATGCTATAACCCATAACAGCCAACTGTATGCCATTGTCACCTTCTAAACTTTGCTAGACAAGCAAATATTGGTTGTTGGCTGTTCCCTATTTTGCACCAGGTTTCATACAAGCTTCTAAAATTGTATTCTATAGTCAGATCAGAGATTTCGATTGTTTAAAATAATCCAAGGAAGACACCTAATCGAAATCAAAATTTCCTAATGCACATTACGAATATATCACTACAGACATAATATGTCAGTTCACTTTTTTTATACATATTGTTAGAACCAACACCATTGGTAGGTTTAACTAATAATATTTGCTAGGTACAAATTAGAAATGTTGTATAAAAGCTGAAGGGAAATAGAGGAGGGGGTGTTACACCCAGCAACCAAATAAGGCTGCACCAGAACAGTGACAGCTGAGCTCATAGGCTGCAATGGGTAACACCATTTTTTGTATACATCAGCCCTACTTTGGGGGTGGTTATAATATGGGCGGTACTAGTAATGTCACCAGAAGGTAAGCAGGCTGGACCAGCCCACAAAATGTCTGCCTCCAGTGCTAGTAGGCTTTAAAAAGGCAGTACACATCCTTGTACTACTGAAATTTAGGACAGGCCTACTACTGAACTTTAGTTCAAGTCTTAAATGTATAAATGTTAAAACTAGACATTTCCAATGTATTACCATCACCGAACCCATAGCACAGATACACCTAATGATACAGTAAAACATGATAAAGTATAAATGTGACTATTTATGGGTGGGATCAATTAACTAGATTAATTTTTTTTCTTAAATACCAATTTTAATAACACTAGTAATGGATTCATTTATAGAACTTTAACACCAAATCTATTAACTTGAAATTAACACTTTATCATTAACAGACTAGCCTTTGCCTGGACTATGTTTGTGTTTATATGACTTTAAAGATGTTATGGGCTTTTACACAGAACATTGGAGGCAAACAATATAACAACATAATCCTTTAGTTATTACTACCTATTAACTAAAACCAAGATCATACAATACAATATCACTGGTTGCATTTATTGTATATTGACTGCTGCTATTCTTTCACAATTGTATGCTGACAAGACTAGGTTAACAATGTCTTCTTCTCTTTACAGGGTGCTCCTGGAAGCCGTGGTTTCCCTGGTGCTGATGGTGCTGGTGGACCCAAGGTGAGACCCCTTTGAAATGGACATCTTGAGCTGACTGGATATAGCTTTGGACATTTAATGACCAGGAAAACATTCTGTTTTCAGTGATTGCTGACCTGACTTTATCACCAATTCAATACTACGGTTATATATCAGTTTCCTGGCCTCATTCACTGAAGGCAAAACATAGTAGGGTTCTAGGGACAACTGACTAGATTGTTGTATTGAGCTAAAGTCTCATTTTTTGTTTTAATTAGTCTAACCATTCTTTGTTTTGCTGTAATGCAGGGTCCCCCTGGTGAACGTGGACCTGTCGGCTCTGTTGGCCCCAAAGGATCTTCTGGTGAATCTGGTCGCCCCGGTGAGCCCGGTCTTCCTGGTGCTAAGGTGAGATGCCACTTTAAAGTGACTTGGAAGCTTGGACTATTGACAATCATTCGGTTTTACACTTCCTACTTACTCCAACTTTGGGCAAAACAAGCAAGCAGTATTAAGCCATAAAATACCTAGATACCTGTATCTGCATCTTGTTTTTGGATGCACTATTTTACACAAAAGCTAATGAAGATTAGATTTTGCCCTCTGATATCCTCTAAGGCCTGCTTTCTGTGTTTGCCCATCACATTACCATCCATTGCACACAGCGCAGTTTAAACATTAAATATACCTCGACTAAAGCAGAAACCATATATCACATGCCCTATAATTGGGGAATATTGTAAAGACTATTCAGTTAAGAACAAGCTAAAGAAAATAATTATAGAAGGTTCCTATGTTTTACAAACATTTATTTTGCTATAGGATGCAATGTGATCTTGTCTTCTCTTCTTTTCTAGGGTCTGACTGGTAGCCCTGGTAGCCCTGGCCCTGATGGCAAGACTGGACCTTCTGTAAGTTGGTGTCTTCTTCTTTCACAACCAAGTGTTTCTTCTTCAACATCCTTTGATTTGTTTTTTCTGATCTGTGGTCTTTTTGACATAGGGTGCCCCTGGTCAAGATGGTCGCCCCGGACCTCCCGGCCCACCTGGTGCCAGAGGCCAGTCTGGAGTTATGGGTTTCCCTGGACCTAAAGGAGCAGGTGTAAGTATTCACTTCTTGTGAAGCCTCTATTATGTGATATTTACCCTCTTTCTTTTTTTCCCCAAAGCCCAAATCTTTACTATTCTCTCACTACAATCAATAAATTGTCCACCACACATCCTAATTAACATATCTTTCTTTTTTTCACAGGGTGAGCCTGGCAAGCCTGGTGAGAGAGGAGTTTCTGGTCCCCCTGGTGCTGTTGTAAGTATTTAGAAATTAGTCTTCATTTTTGCTCTGTGTTCAGGCCTCTTGACCCATAATTAGTTTGGCAAATAGGAAGCAAATAAAGGTCTTAAAAATATTGTTTTGTATCACTGTACATGTGATAATTGATAGTACAAGTGAAGCCTTAGAGAGGTCCTTCACTGCATAAGGTTAAATGGGTTGGTGACCTAATAAAGAAAGATCCAATTAGTTTTTTGAAAAAACATTTAGCGTTGATCAAATTTAGAAAAAGAGCCCAAAGCACATACATTTATTTAATAAATAGTACTAGACACCAATAGTCATTGTTTTTATCCAGTATATTGAGTAGAATGTTTGGTAGTTGTGGTGACTTTGGTTAATTCTTGGTCCACTTGAGCAAAGATGCACCAAGTTTAGATTGTCTTCTTTAAAAAGAATACTCATTCACACATGAGAGCTGTTTCAGTTGAATTATAGGCCTATTCTTAGTATTTAGCCTTTTGTTATTTAGTTTATCGGTTGGCTATAATATAATCATCCCCACTTTTCTGCTCTAGGGTGCTCCTGGCAAAGATGGTGAAGCTGGTGCTCAAGGTCCTCCTGGCCCTGCTGTGAGTAGAATTGTACTTTCCTTCTTATTGGTTACTTATTGATACTGCTTTTCCTAAAACTAAATTGAATTTATCTTTTGCCCTGCAGGGACCTGCTGGAGAGAGAGGTGAACAAGGTCCTGGTGGTCCTCCCGGATTCCAAGTAAGTACTTGAACATAAACTAATGGGGTCCCTATATTCCATGGCCTTTAAAATATTGTCCCTCACATTGGACCCATGGTCTGCACTTGACCCTACTAGGCAGTATCCTCAGTAAAATTATCTCTATTTACTAATCACCTCTTTACACCTTCAAATGCCATACTCATATACAATGGCTATATCCAACTGCTATATGTTGTTAGCACCAGATACTCACATTTACTGTTTCATACAAAGTCATTTATTCATATACACACTGGAATATTGTCTTTGGAAGACTCCTTTCATGTACTGAACATCCTTTTACTGCTAATTACGAGCTCTAACTGTGATGTAATATATCCCTTTCTTTTAATTGTTAGGGTCTTCCCGGATCTCCTGGTGCCCCTGGTGAAAGCGGCAAACCCGGTGAACAGGTGAGTCAGCTGAATTTACCCTGCTGTACTGACAAACTATATGTCACTATAGGAAGTAAATTTAGGCAGTGCAGTTAAAATATAGGGTGTTGTGTAATAGAGAACTTTAGAGTCTAGTAGATGACAGTCAGGTTGTCTGTATTGGTGTTGATGCATTTTCTTGATTTTACTTACTAACACATGACTAAATAATGTGAAAGCTTTAACCTAAATAATTAGAGTGGAAAACAGCTCAAGTTCCCATTTTTACCAGTTTGTATGCATACAGGTCTACTGGTTCTAAAGCTAGTAGACATCAGCTAGATAGCTAGCAGACATGTACGAATAAAAGTCACATAACATAAAGATTACACATTGCTTTTTTAACCCTGTTCTATAAAGGTTGAAATTGATTACAGTTTATCTAACTGAATGTCTCTCTTTATAGGGTGTTCCTGGAGATGTTGGACCCTCTGGTCCTTCTGGCGCAAGAGTAAGTATCCCATCCTTCTACATTCTACTTGACGCTCTAAGATTTATCTAAATAAGCCCTAATTTTTGCTTGGTTTGGAAAGTAAGCTATATACAACCTAAATGAGAGGCAACCTCTTTTTTGATGTGCCCTAAATGTCATTTGCCCATTTTCTGGGTTTCTAATGCATAGATTATTGTTATTTTGAGACAACAAATGGTGTCATGCTAAAACGGTCTCCTCATAATAATAGTATATGATAATCTTGAGGCCCTAAAAACTTGGACCCTGTATGAAGTTTTGACCCACAGATTGTAGATACTCGGCCACAATCACTGATAAGTAATCTGTTAGACTCTGGATTTGTGGTATGCAAGCTCTGACAACTCTAAAATCCAAACATTGCAAAGCTGTTACATTTTTCTAAAAGAAACCCACTTGTTATGCCTATGTGCTTTAGTAGCATTAGAGCTTTTTGATATACCTTCCCCTCTTCTTATTCTTCATTCCAATGGTGGAAAGAGAATAAAGGCCCTTCTTACAAGCTGAGAACAACAGGATTGGTACACTTGTCCTTGGCATTACCAGTTGGCCTCCTAGATTTTACATAAGTACCTAGTCTAGCTTTAATGTATATTGTTGTATGTGTTCAGGCCTAAATTTATGAGAAGGCTATAAGAATAAAATACCTAATATTGCAAAATGTCTTAGGGGCTACCCCTTACCTCATTATTTTATCATACTTCAATCTTACGTAAGCTTCCAATGATAAAAAAGCAAACCACAGGGATCTAGGGCTATAGAGATTGCAAGCTTTCTGGATGATACACAGATTTGTGTCATTATTTTTCATATTTTTCTTCATTCATGGAATTTTGATCATCTATGATATTGTTGTTTATAAGATATAAGGAAGACTGCACCAATGAGCACTAACAATTTTTAAGCGAGTATAGTTCATTAGATATATATAGCCAGTTCCATAAATTTTACTTCCCATTGCTTCTTTTTGTGCAACCTGTTTCAATGTACTCGTTTACTGAAGCAGCACTGTTTATATCTATTATAGGGCGAAAGAGGATTCCCTGGTGAACGTGGTGCCCTTGGACCCCCTGGCCCTCAGGGACCTCGTGGTGCTAATGGTTCTCCTGGTAGCGATGGTGCTAAGGTGAGTTGGTCTTCTCTTGCCAATGGGCAAAAAAATGCTCCTATGGTCTACAACATCCTTTCAGACTTTATGATCTTGACTGTCAAGTTGAAATGTTAAAGCTGGTTGGCTCACATTGCTCTTAGTCAAGGCACATTTTCTAATAATGGTCATTGTTATTTGGGGAAAAAAAAAATCTGTGGTAAGATTAAGGGAACTCTAAAATAAGTTTAAGAATTTGGGCCTCACTATAACTGTGTTGTAAGATAATTGTATTAAGACCTTTGAGGTATATTGATCTGCACTGTTGACTGGACATGCCTATAACAATTTTTGCTAATATACCATCAATCAGAGCATCGATAACAGTAATCAGTTAATGTATACAGCTCAAGGGAATTCTCAAAGAAATCTTCAATTACACAAGAGAATTTATCTAAAGTGACATTCAACGGGAAAATGTGAAATGTTCAAACATTACATAGCAATGCAATCTTAGTACATTGGTGCAATTGAATTATAGCAGAATATATATTCTTGGTTTACAGTAAAGCAATGTCTTTTTACCCATAACAGGGTGAAGCTGGTGCTCCAGGTTCTCCTGGTGGTCAAGGATCTCCCGGTCTTCAGGGAATGCCCGGTGAACGTGGTTCTGCTGGCCTGCCTGGTAATAAGGGTGACAGAGTAAGTACCAGATACCGGAGCCACACTTTATATGATGCTCACCTATTCTAGCTATTTTTTCCTTTTCTTCATTCAAACCAATTCTGGTATTTTCTTCTGCCTTCTTTTAAAAACAAGGTGTCCCTCTACCTAATCCTGTTTTTCCTTAATTTGTGCTCTTTATTCTTCTTTGACTTTAATCCCATCTCACTGACTCCTATCCCAGCAAATAAGTATACATTGTGCTATATGAACTTGCAGTTCAAACATTTAACACTATCCTCTTTGCCTTCTAGGGTGACCAAGGACCTAAGGGTTCTGATGGTGCTCCAGGCAAAGATGGTGTAAGAGGTTTGACTGGTCCCATTGGTCCTCCTGGCCCTGGTGGTGCTCCTGGTGACAAGGTACGTTGAAGTGACAAAGTCACACATTTTTCAATTCTTCATTTCACTGACCAGGTGCAAGGGCATACAAAGGGTATGCAAAATGTACATCTTTCAAGAGTCCATCATGCCAGGGAAATCAAGAATAACTTCTCCTTCTCAAAAAAATCAGCATCTGCATGCTAATATTATATTCTACACAAAATAAAGCACTACGTTTTGTTTCCTAATGCTCCTTCAATAAAATAGAAGGCAACAGATAAAACAAAACAGTTTAGAACAAATACAGGTTTTTGTACTATACCAATGTGGTTCTTAGTTATACTTCTAAGCAGGTGTTCAATCAATCTGGTCTTTGAGCCCTCGAATCTGCACATACACAGGATCCTACAGGCATCCTGTATTTAAAACCAAACATCTTGAGGCTGTATAACTTGATGATAGAGGTTTCAACTATTTATATCAGTTTATAGACATATATTGCACAAATGCATCATTATATACAGTAGTCTTTAGTTAGTCATGCAGTTTAATGAAGAAAAACTAGGCTTTTACTTCAGCTATAGAAAATATTATGTTTATGTACAGTGAAGATATCACTATTGGCCCCAAAAGGTACTCATTACCTATATCCATTATGGTAGCAAAATTATAAATAATCCCAGCGTGGGAGTGTCAAATTGTACCCTACATGGTGCAATGGAAACAACTAAAAAATAAAAACAACTGGCGTTACAACTACACAAAATAAAACTTCAAGGAACTGCCCCTGTGACCATTGGTTACTGCCTAAAGCTCTTAAAGGCAGAAAATAATAGCAGCTCATAGCAATTTGTTGATCTGCTGTAAGAGCTTCTAAAACATTCTATGGATTACGACTTTATTACCAAAACATAAAGAGTAATTACCTGCACCTATAGTAGATGACAAGTAAGTCAACTACTCACAAGATTGTTAACTAGGAAAACAATTTTGTAGATTATTGCCTATTTATGTTCTAAAATTGAAATGCAAAAAGCAAATTGTTTTCAGGGCCATGGAAGAAATGGATTAGGTTTTGGGCCTTCAATAGTTCTTTTATACAGTGGCCCAATACTTCCTATTGACCAACCTTATAAAAGTTGCTTTCAAAGCTATGTCAGAAGTAGATGTAGTGCTAGGGCTTGCCTACCATAGCACATCACTGACCAAACCTTTAACAATGTTTTTCTCTGCAGGGTGAAGCTGGTCCTGCTGGCGCTGCTGGTCCCACTGGTGCCCGTGGTGCTCCCGTAAGTATATCTTCAGTTGACCTGCTTGCTTGTCTTATGACAAAATGGATGAATCTAACATTCACTTTACTGTTCCCATAGGGTGAGCGTGGTGAGCCTGGTCCTTCTGGCCCTGCTGGATTTGCTGGTCCTCCTGTAAGTATTGTGCTTAAATGTTTCTATTTATTCAGCTCATAGAACCATTTTATAACATACATAATTCTTCGTTGTCATTACTACCAGTATGCAGAACAATTCTTTAACCCAGGTTTATTGAACCTTAATGCAAATGCCCAACTCGAGAGTCTTCTCAAAATATTGACTCTGACTAGAGTCTCAATTAATATGGAGAATTCCCATTTTAAATGGAAATCCCATTATTGCTCTTTTTATCAACCTGCAACACCTGTATCCTAAACTGTGAATGCAATTGCAGGCTCACCTGCAGATCCACCTGCTGGTGAAATCTGTAATTGCATTGACGTATACAGGTACATATATTTTACAAAGATACATTATAGTTATTCAGATTTGTACATCAGTGTATTTTACCGCTTACTGACATTCATTTTCTCGCCATTTAGGGTTCTGATGGTCAACCTGGTGCCAAGGGTGAACAAGGTGATGCTGGTCCCAAAGGTGATGCTGGTCCTCCTGGTGCTTCTGGTCCCACTGGCGCTCCCGGCCCTGCTGTGAGTCTCTTTATAGTTTTCAAACTTCACCCTTCCATGACCGTTATCATCCAGCAATACCAATTTACCTCTTTTTCCTTTTTCAGGGTTCCATTGGTGCTCCCGGTCCTAAAGGTGCTCGCGGTCCTGCTGGTCCTCCTGTAAGTATAAATATTTCATAATCTTCTTACCACTATATCTCACAATGGGTGCTTACACTGCTAAGTCATTGGGTACCATTACAAAGGTTGGATAGACTGTTACATTTTATAAGTTGGCCTATGAACCAGGTCACTCTTTCCAACAAAAGCAACTTCACCTGTTTTTCTGCTTATAACATTGAGCACAATACAACACGCATTGAACACAAAAATAATCACTCAATATGTCTTCCATCCTTAGGGTGCTTCTGGTTTCCCTGGTGCTGCTGGACGTGTTGGACCCCCTGGCCCTTCAGTAAGTATTTATAGCCTTATGTACTTTTAAATTATGATTGTGAGAGCTCACAGGTTGCCACTGCTGCTGTGGGGAAGGGGGTGAAAGTGCTGCTGCAAGGTGGTTCTAGGTGGATTCCATTGCCACAAGCACAACCTGCTAGTGGGGAAGGGGGTGAAAGTGCTGCTGCAAGGTGGTTCTAGGTGGATTCCATTGCCACAAGCACAACCTGCTAGTCATAGTGCTGTTACCAGTTTAAGTCAGTAATGGCTCACAATGTCATTACTGAACCTCCATGCTCCCATGCTATTCTTCTGACTTGTGTATACAAGTTCTTATTAAATAGGACATGTTAAGATATGTGTAGCTGACTACAGCCAATCCCACTTTGGTGCCTTCACACTCACCCTTTGATTGCTCTTTAGGGTAATTCTGGACCTCCTGGACCTTCCGGCCCAGCTGGAAAGGAAGGACAGAAAGGACCTCGTGGTGAGACTGGCCCTGCTGGACGCCCTGGTGAACCTGGTGCCTCTGGACCTCCCGGACCCTCTGGCGAGAAAGGATCTCCTGGTAGCGATGGCCCTGCTGTAAGTGCTGCTTTAAATCGGATCTATGCCTAATGTTTATCAGAAAACTATTCAAGGCCCTCTTTACTCAATATTCACTAACTTAACTTATGAATTATTACTTAATAGTTACATAAGGCCAAAAAATCCTTCACAATGTAGTAATTACAATAAGTCCATTACATAGCAGATCATTGCTTTTCTTGCTGTGTCTCTTCTTTAGGGTGCTCCCGGTACTCCCGGACCTCAAGGTATTGCTGGAACCCGTGGTACAGTTGGTCTTCCCGGACAAAGAGGAGAAAGAGGCTTCCCAGGTCTTCCAGGCCCCCTTGTGAGTATCACCCTGATATTAATACACAAACCTTTCAAACTTTAGAACGTCCTACTTTTCAGTAGGCCACATAGTGAAACCTCTACAAGACAAAACACCTCCTATGTAGTCTGTTTCTGCTAATAATGTTTTATACACAACACATTTCACAGTGGCACTTTTACAGCAACCAAAAGACATTGTCAAATGTGCACCTACCAATTCCTAAACAGAATACTCTGTGCCATCTTTACATTCACCATCCCACAGTCTTACATATAAACATTTATACTGTATTAAGTGATTTAGCAACAGGGCAGTTATATCATCTTATTGCATGTTATTTTAACTTTATCCTATATTACAACACTTTAGGGTGAACCTGGCAAACAAGGTCCTTCTGGCCCAAGCGGTGAACGTGGTCCTCCCGGTCCTAGTGGCCCACCAGGCTTAGCTGGACCTCCCGGTGAACCAGGTCGTGAGGTGAGTGTTTTTGGATATTAGTTTAATCAATGTAAGACCATACAATGCTAAACTTACTGTAAGACCATACAATGACTCAATGTGCACCTGCCTCATTCTTCAAACAAGGCCTCTAACATCAACTACAATGGCCTTATCATCAAGATTGTTTGTTAAGCCCAGCAAAATGGATACATTTTACAAATAGAAAATATACATTTCAAGTGCACCTGTTAAAGCTTGATATTTGTTACGACTTACTAATGGCCAAACCTCTTCCTGACCATTTTAGAGCTTAGTAAGTCCGAGCCATTAAAGAAGACAACTGCAGTGATGATATAGGAGTTTCCTCTTTTTTGTGTGCAAGGACACGATCCATCACTGAAGCCTGTAGGCACACAAGCTCTGGCACTCAAAGCATGATCCCCCTGCTAGGATCTACCACAATATGCCAACTTATTTTACTGGTCATAACCTGCCTTGGAATAATGTTGTAGATGAGATTATATGAATCGTCTGTTTGATAACTAAAAAGAATGTGTGGCTGATGGCCATACACAGGAAACCTGCCTCTTTGCCTTTGCAACCTATGGACACAGGCCTACTGAGCCTAATGGTTATGCCGGCCCTGGCTCTGTGTAGGCTGTGCTGTAAGGCATCTTGAGATAGCAGACACATTCTTATCAAGGCTGCCAGGACCTAGACATCTTAGCTGAAACATATTTAAAAGTATTATTAGCTAGGTTTAATGGAACTTACATTTCTCTTGTGGTTTGTCTTTAGGGATCTCCTGGTTCTGAAGGTTCTCCCGGTCGTGACGGTTCTGCTGGTCCTAAGGTAAACTGTTTTATCCAAGTCATTTCCCTTGTCTTTAATTCCATTTAGCTGTGGTATCATTGAAGACAGTGCTTTAACCGAACCCCAATATTTTCAATAATTTAGGGTGATCGCGGTGAGGGCGGACCTGCTGGTCCTCCTGGCGCTCCTGGTGCCCCTGGTGCTCCTGGCCCATCTGGCCCTGCTGGAAAGAACGGTGACCGTGGTGAGACTGTGAGTATACCATATTTTTGTTCTCAAACTTTGCTTACAAACAATTAGCCTATAGTTAGAACATATTTAATGGACATCAAAATTTTGTATTTGATCCTGAAAACCCAACATTTTAATGTAATACTCTCAATCCATGTCAACAACTATTGACATTCCCACACCATTTACTTAAACTCTGAAAACTAGATAAGGGAACACACCTTAACTTAGCAGTAGATGCATCAGCTTGGACAATAAAACTGACCTCAAGTCTCATTGTAATTAGAATCATTGGATTCTAACATGGATCCATCTATATATGTCACACTTTGCTACTTATATTACAAGATCCTTGCTATTGTGACATACATGGTTTCAACTTCTGACCATGATGAGGACAGCAACTTGAATGTATTAATTTATCTTTTTCATTAATTAAAAGAAACTTGGACACTTTCAGAGGATTTATATATTCATTTTTACCCCTGCCCCAAAAGGAGCTTACAATCTAATGTTGCTAGTACCACATTAACAGACCCATCATTCGCAAGTTTGTGAGAAAACCTGTAAACCTACCTGTATATTTGTGAACTGTGGGAGGACACCGGAGCACCCAGAGAAAGCTCATAAAAACACACAGAGAACATACTCAACATACAAACTCAAGCAACAATGCTAACCACTCAGCCACCCATATGCCCAGACATTAATGCATTTTGTTGAAGTTCCAGTGTGTGAAGGAGATACAGACTGCCTAGGAATAACTTTAACTTATTTCTTTTAATTTCTCAGGGTCCTGCTGGTCCTTCTGGCCCTGCTGGTCCTGCTGGTGCTCGTGGTCCTTCTGTAAGTATCTCTCTCATCTGAAGAACCTGTATTTTGTGCAAAATTCTTGGTAGTTTTTCTTATCATTTCAAATGTCCTTTGTATAGGGACCTGCAGGTGCTCGTGGTGACAAGGGTGAGGCTGGAGAACAAGGAGAAAGAGGCATGAAGGGACACAGAGGTTTCAACGGTCTTCCCGGACCACCCGGTTCTCCTGTAAGTAATGTGTGACGCAATGTTATCCATGTCCACTTAGAATTCTTTATATTCGTATTCTGTGCCTATGCAAATACTTTTTCACCAGAGTGCAATACAAGTACTATAAAATACCCTATTTTTCATCAGATTAATAATGTTTAGTGACAATATCCTTTTTAAATGCAATACCAGTTTGGAAACATATCCCTAGTGGATCTGTTTGTAAATTGTTCTGTGGTAGCTCCACTACTCTTTAGTTTTCTTTGCTTTTTGTTTTTCCTGATACATTGTTTCCAAGTACCAATTACCTGTTTGTATTTCAGGGCCATGCTGGTGAACAAGGTCCATCTGGTGCTTCCGGTCCCGCTGGTCCAAGAGTAAGTATTCTCTAATTTTTCCTATGAAGATAGGGAAAAATAGCTTCTATTGAAATTATTTATTCTGAGGCCTTAAATGAGCATCAGTGTCCTAATCATGTAATGTTTTAAAAAATAGGGTCCTCCTGGATCTTCTGGCAGCGCTGGCAAAGATGGTTCTAATGGTCTGCCCGGTCCCATCGGCCCACCTGGTCCTCGTGGTCGTACTGGTGATGTTGGTCCTGCTGTGAGTATACTTATTTACATGATGCTTCTTAACCCACATGAAGCTTTTAAATAATTTTGACTAGTCAATTGAGTATCTGCTGTTTAGAAGATGCTCCATGATGGTCTTTATTATTTTTTAATGATTCTAATTTTGTTGTCAGTCTCATACACATATCAGTTTTGATGACTCTACTTATTATACCTTTTAGGGTCCTCCTGGACCTCCCGGTCCCCCAGGTCCTCCTGGCCCCCCCAGTGGCGGATTTGATTTCAGCTTCATGCCCCAGCCTCCTCAAGAAAAATCTGACAGACACTACCGCGCTGATGATGCCAATGTCATGCGTGACCGCGATATGGAGGTAGACACTACCCTCAAGAGCCTGAGCAAACAGATTGAAAACATCCGCAGTCCCGAGGGTACCAGAAAGAACCCAGCCCGTACTTGCCGCGACCTGAAGATGTGCCACTCTGACTGGAAGAGCGGTAACATGTCTTAATTATTATTTTAATAGATAATGAGGATTGGCACACATATTTATTGGCCTTTTTCACTTCATTTTCTTGTCCCCTTTCTTCCCTATCCAGGTGAATACTGGATTGACCCCAACCAGGGATGCACCCTTGATGCCATCAAGGTCTTCTGCAACATGGAGACTGGAGAAACATGTGTCTATCCCACTCAGTCCACCATTGCCCAGAAGAAATGGTACACTAGCAAGAACCCACGTGAGAAGAAGCATGTCTGGTTCGGCGAGACAATGAGCGATGGCTTCCAGGTAAGGAAAGTTTGTAATACATGTATTATAGCATACTTGGCTTTTCCACAGAAGCAACAAAATAATTTAGTAGACGGGCAAATATAGTGGAAGTTCACCATTTCTTACAAACAAGAGTAAGCACCTTGAAATTGTCCATATTGATGTCATCATTTTGCTTTTTTCTCAGTTCGAATATGGCAGTGAGGGATCTGACCCAGCTGATGTTAACATCCAACTCACCTTCCTCCGCCTTATGGCCACCGAAGCTTCTCAGAACATCACCTACCACTGCAAGAACAGCGTGGCTTACATGGACCAAGAAACTGGCAACCTAAAGAAGGCCCTGCTCCTGCAAGGTTCCAACGAGATTGAGATCAGAGCCGAGGGTAACAGCCGCTTCACATACAGTGTCAATGAAGATGGTTGCACGGTAAGCTACTTTTTAACTCGACTGGGTTTCTATATTGTTTTGAGAAGAATAAAGGAGGGTTATACTTTCTGTCAGGTTTTTAGTGTCACCTGTGACTCCATTGTGGAAAACTGTGGTCACCTGGGCAGGAGGGCATAGAGAACAAGAAAAACCTCCCAGAGGCTCTAATCTTTACCCACTCTACTGAAAAAAAGGCTCTCTAAACTGTGGGCATAGTCAACTGCCTTGTTTGGCTCGTACATTGAAACACTGCTCTAATGGTCTATTTTCCTTCCACAGCAACACACAGGACAATGGGGCAAGACAGTCATTGAATACAAGACCTCAAAGACATCAAGACTGCCCATTACAGATGTGGCACCTATGGATATCGGAGCTGCAGACCAGGAATTCGGAATTGAGATCGGACCAGTCTGCTTCGTGTAAAAACAACAGACAAATACTAGGACAGGATAATTTCTAATGCGGACTTGAAATTGTTGTTCCTCTCATCTCTAAAACTTTTCTTGTTTCCGTAAGCATTACACAAAAAAACAGATAGACATGCTTTGAAGAACATCTCTCCAAGGACAGACCAAAAAGCCCGTGTTTGTGTTCATGGGATGGAGACTTTTCACCTCTCCCTCTACTTGTGCCCCCTGCTTACATGAATTGGCCTTCCTATGACCTTGAAGATGCCCCCGTGGAGAAAACAATTGGGAATGTCCTTAATAAGACTGCCCCGGATTTGAGATGATGAGAATTCAGGGTCGACGATCCTACAATTCCCAGAGTTGAAGAGGAGTAAACCACATCATTTCATGTAATGCACCTTTTTTTTAAGAAAAAAAAAGTTTGTTTTTTTTGTGTTCATTTGTTCAGGTGGCAAAAAAAATAAATATGAAAAAAAAAATAAATATGAAAAAAAAAATGAAATTGAAGGTGTGTGGAGAGTGTTTTGGTATCTTGAAAGAGCTGGGTTTTGTTCCTCTGGGTGTGAGTGTCTCCTTCCATTTCCTAATTCCATCGTCCTTTAGGTCCCTCCTCCATACTGAGTTTCATCCTTGTCACACTGAAGGTCAAACAGATCACTGAGGTTCCTCCAGTGTTAGAAGGGTGAGCAGTGTAGAGTGTTTGATGTTTTGTTTTTGTTTTTTTTCTGAGACTACCTCACTGTCATGTCCCATTCCATTGGTGCTAAGGTCTCAATGCTTCTTTGACATTCTTTCCCACAGTAGCTTCAGTTTCTTTGGTGCTATAGATAGGATCTATTTTCCATATTTATCCGCCCAATAGGCTACCACTTGAGGATTTTAAGGTGCTATTTCAGAACTTCTTTCCCACTTCCTATCTCTCTTAACCCCCTTTCCCGTGAACACAAGATTATGAGGTAGTGTCTGTGTTTGTTGTAATTCCTGCCTTCTTGTTTTGCTTAGTCCTCTTTGTCTTCTACATTCCTCCTTCTAAACCTCTCTTATTTCTTTCTCATTCCTCTTTCTATTTTCAACCTTTGTCCATTCTCTAACTAGACCGCGATACCATGGGGTTTGAACTGAAACCAAAGGATCTGTACCTGTTTTGTAATTGTATAATAAATTGAGATGTTTTTAATTATTGTGATTTGCTGAAATAAAGCATGTAATATGGTCCAAAATAGTCAATGTGATCGGTGGTCCTTCTCTATCCGACGTTGACACCTTTGCGCGCTAACCATCATGACTAACACCAACAGGCCACAATTAGTGTTATGGCAAAGCATGCAAACCCTGGGTGGCTTACCCTACTAATATAAGGAAATATATATTTAACACTATGGGTTTTTAGACATGTAGCCCACATTAACGTCATTTTATTTATACACATGTATTGTAAACCTAAAACCTATTTTTCGGTTTGCTTGGCATGATTCCTCACTCATATTTAGCAATTTTTTTGCAAATTTTCTTACCCCGAGTTCCTGAAAAATTGGATTTTGGAAAGTTGACAATACCTGAGTCAAACTAAAGATCTGGGCCTTCTAACCAAAAGAGTCAGAAGAAAGATATCCATGTTGCCAGAAAAGGCCTAACCCAATTACTTTTTAACATAGACATACTGAGCTTTGGCAAAGCATCTGAGGCCAATGCACTAGACCCCTAGATGCATTGACACAGTAAGGTTGTGCCCATGGGAAAAATTAAATTGATACAAACCTTTTTTTTCTATATCTGCTTAACATATGTATGGTTTAGAGCCTTCTTCAGGTCTGCATTACTGTCTATGTCCTTATTAGGGAGTTTTTCCTATACTTCCTGTAGGGACAGAAAACAGTGGAATTGATTGTGGATTCTCCATGTAACTAGTCTCTATAATGGATAGATTTCGGATTTTCTCTCTGTTGATATGCATTGGGATTGTGCAAACAAATGGTGGCCTTCCCATTTGTCATGTACTAATTCTGTGCCGACCGTTCCTTTATTGCCAGATCAGAAAATGTTGGGGAAAAAATAAAAAGGTTGCTATTTGGACTTCTTTGACGTTCAAGGGCTTGACAGGGGAGTAGTTATATTATAACTAATGTAAAACTAAAATATAATCACGTTCACAACTAAAGCTCAAAAAGTGAAGATTTGCTATGTTATAGGGAACATATAGAAGTACCCTGAAAATGTTTTTGACTTGAAAATAGCAGTGCCCTTCCTGTGCATTGACCCTCATGTGTTCCTTGCTGTTCTTGGTGGAGAGGAAGCCGTACCTGAGGACCTGAAGACAAGAATCCCCCTGTTACATTTATTTTGTGGGTGCTTTCTGAGCCTCTGCTGCCTGATTATAGCCATACCAGTTATCAGATCACCAGAAACTAGACAGCTCTGACATGCAGAAGCCAAGGCCTGCTCTCCCAGCGAGATGGCCGCTTCCACACAGCAACGTAGTGTGCTATAAGGCCTGGTAAATCACTCTAATAGAAAACATACTATCACTCTAATAGAAAATTGATCTTGCATAAGGTATTGGCAACACGGGTGGACCTACCATTAGTGCAGACAATACACAAGAGCCCTCTGGGACTTAGGATCCTGTTTATAATAGATAGTGGTAAAGCCAGTGCTGAGTTCCACCTGCTGGGCATGACTCACTTCTAGGGCAGTTGAGAATCAGGAGACATTTCTAATGATACCCAGATTTTTCTCCTGATTTGTAATATCCAATTGGACACCCTGCCTGGCCAACGTGGAAGAAAGAGATCAGAGTATTGCAGTGACTACTCTTTCATATCTATCTATCTATCTATCTATCTATCTATCTATCTATCTATCTATCTATCTATCTATCTTATCTATTCTATCGTAATTAGGTAATTCTACTTGGGAAGCAGTTGTACGCGCACAGGGGCCCTTTGGTGATTACGTCTTTACTAGTGGTGCCAATGTAAAGCGGCGATGTAATCATTACATCACACACCAAGTCATTTGGGGCCATGCACTACTCTCTATAAGTAGGATGTGTATATTTTCTGCGACCCCCTTGGTGCTAGATTTTTTGAAACTGGTGACCCCATAGTCAAGGAAAAGTGCACTTAAGGGCAGCAGTTTTCAAAGTAGTGGTGGGTATCTTACTGAAATAATCTTTTTGGCAACCAATACTCACAATAAGGAGGCAAGACACCTAATCTAACATCTATTCAGGAACCCAAGGTGGCCCCCTAAAGCAGAGCACATTCTACAGCTGGTATCCTGGTGATGACAGGACAAAGGTTCAATGCCTTTGCATCCACCACAAACAAACGCTAATGGGATTTGTGGCTGGGAAGTCTATTGTCCGTTGACCGGGTCCATAGGTATGATCCCCAATTTCCTAAAACACCAAGCAGAGATTTTCCTGAACATACAAAATGCTTTTTTTAGTAGACTTCCTCACTCCCCTCTGCTTTTTTTCACAGAGATAGAGGGCTGCAATTATACAATGCTGTCCATTGCTCTCAATCTTCTCATTTAGACCTCTAGATGGGATGCCAAAGATATGCCCCAGACAACTTAAAGGGCTTTGCCGAAACAGGCCCATATCTCTCCCTTTCATCTCCTGATTGCTGATCTGTACAAGCTGGGTAACAATTAAAGCAGTAGAGGAATGTCGTTTTTAACACCAGCCAGTTATGGTGACAAAGCGACTTGCTTAAGGTAGTTAGGTGCTCCTGCTGTGTGTGCAGGATAAACAATGAACAGGGTTGTAATTAAAGACTAGTAGTTCAGCCAAAGATGTAACCAAGGGACAAAACCCCAGAAGAGGTAGTCAGCAGAGAGCAACAGCTAATATTGTGTAGGAGATGTTGCAAATGCCCCTGAAATTATATTTTGTCCCACCCCTTCCTGTTCAAGACATTTTGCATAACTTGTCAGTCGCTGGATACAGCCTGACAGGTTGCGCATTTTATGTTCTCCTTGCACAGTTGTCGCTGCCCCACTTCTGGTTTGAATTACCCCTGTTATGCATTACTGAATGTCATTCAATTAAGGATTACATCTACTTTAAAGGTTTGTTCATTCATGGAGTGAATCTGGTGGATCTAATAAACCCTTGGGCTTCTTATACCTCTTGGTTTCTAGTGGCCATATTTTTCCTGTAGAGGATCTGGCACAGCTAACCCTCTACCACCGAGTCTCACTTTTTCTTCAAGGACAATGATAAATTGCTGTCTGGAGCCAGGAACCTAGGTGCAGAAAACCAGATTAGTGACTGTATCTACTCAGATATAACTCAACAGACCTTTAAGGATCTACTTGCATATAATCAACAGACCATGATATAACACAAATCAAAATAACTCAACAGACCATTAATAGTGACTACATCCACTTAGATATAACTAAACAGACCATTAAGGATCTACTTAGATATAACTAAAAAGACCATTAAGGATTAACAAAACTCTCTTATACACATGCACACACTAGCAAACAGATACTAGTCACTCGTGGACACATATATGCCATGACTGTACTCACATCCGTTAAAGGCCATAACCAAATAGGTTGAATTCATTCTGGATCGATCTGTAAAGGTTTAGAGCCTTCTTCAGGTTTGAATTACTGTTTATGTCCTTAGGGAGATTTTTCTATAATTCTGTCGTGGGACCAGGGGTGCCCTCTTACCTGGGGTCCGGCGGGTGCGACGGAGATAGGGTCCTTCTTGGGGTGAATTGGTGCCCGGCGGCATGCTGCAGGTGTGCACATGAGCGCATGCAGGACATGCATGCTTGACATGCGCATGTGGCACTACCGTGGCTTCTTAGTCGCTTCGGGTGCTGTTCATTGCCGGGAAGGGCCTTGCGAGCACTCCTTCCCAGATAGCAAGGATAACTTGCCACAAACTTGTGTCAGGGTTAAATTGTAATTTTGTTAACTTGCTGCACATATTCCTGGCAAGTTGTAGACTTGCAGAATACTTGCAGCACAAGTTCTAGTTGACACTTTTTGAATTTGTAGCAAATTTGCTCGGCAAGTCTACAGCAAGAGTCCTGCAGGTCTTAGCAAGAGCTCTGCAAGCTCGCTGGTCTGGAGACTTGCAATGCAGACTTGCTGTAATTGTGCAACAAAATTGTGAAGCTTGGCAAGTCTGCAATAGTTTAGCAAGTCTTTTTCAAACTTGCAGCACCATTTCTTGCTATCTGGGCTCTCTCCCAGCCGTCCCATTGGTTCGCAGGGACCTGTGGCTTCCTGGTTGCCCCGACAACGGGGGCGTCGCTGGCCCCTGCTGGGTTTAAATTCCAGCCAGAGCCAAGACTTGTTGCTGAGTTATTCTGCCATTCCCAAAGCAGCTACAACGCCTCATTTCCTGTTTCCTGCCTCCCTTCCCTGCTATTCG